TTTGCTGCTTCTGAAAAATCTCCATCTGGTATAATCCCGCCTTAGCCAAGCTTGTGACCTACCAACCGCTCCATTGTCTTAGGCACATGCCGCCTCGTGAAGGAGTGCACACATCGGCAGCCGCCGAAAAGGTCCGTTCGCAAGCACATGATGTGGCAGATATCGAGAGATAATCTCGGGCTAGCTTTGCAAGGATGGGAAATCGGTGTTGATGTCCCTGTAAAGACAGAACCATTGTCAGCATGTCCATATTGAAAGAAAATTAAGAAAAAGGAATGAACGTACTTTCCACCATCCAAGCGGAGTTTGGTCCTTCTTTAACATACAAGCACCTTGCAAATACTCCTCAATCTCGGAGTTGGATGCTTTGGCAGTACCGGAGCCTGAAACTCCAAAGACATCAAAAGGATCGACGTCGGTTGAAGTGGTGTCATTTTCAGGAGTTGGAGTCGGTTCGTGCTCCTCAAATTCTTCAAGTTCAACGCGAGAGGTAAATTCGTGTTCAATCAGTGCAATAGCAGACGAGTGATGATCAGAATAATGAAGCTCAAAGAACTTCCCCCGCAGTTGTGGGTTGAGGATCGTTGCTAAAACAATGCTCTCGCATCCCACAGCTTCTTCCTGATACTTTGAGAGCCACTTGATCATTTCGTCAATCGCATCTTTGAGGCTTGAGTATTCCAATGATTCGTTTTTAATAAGTTTAAGCTCGGAAATGACACGTTTGTATTCAGTTAGGAGGATGCATCCGGTAGGTCCATTTCCTTCAACGCAAGCCGTGGCATCTACAAAGGTCTAACCAAAAATAAGAAAGTCAGTATATTATTGAAGGTCTGCAAAAAGAAAGGAACATTACCTTTAATATTTTATTGACCAACTCGACTGCGTGCCATTCAGCCGGTGAGATAGTCACCCCCTTGAAGAAACAGGCCTTGCGATCCGCTGCAAGCATCGAGTTAATCACCTACATATAATAAAGAGTCAGTGAAGATTAGATGGTGTAGATGGAAGAATTAAAACAATACCTCTTGTGCTTCGCATGCTATCTTCCGGCTTTCATAATGGCTGTTCCAACGCGTCTTGCAAGGACGCTTGAGCATCCTACCTTTATATTCGAGACGCTCGGAACGTGCCTTGAAATCTGATCGCCTGGCTGCACTGCTAGCAATTTGGCCCTGATACCAGCTGCGTGATGGTGTGCGAAATAGCGTGCGCGTCTCCTCGTTACCGGTACTATAGAAACAAA